TCCGAAAGTGGCGGGTTCCTCGGGCCATTCGAAGCAACTTTTTCCTTTACAAAAATGTTCTCCGAGGCGCCGTTAACGAGTTATCGACGAAAAACGGTGACCAATGAGAGGCGAGCTCGGCTGGCCCGAGGCGATCGAGCCAACGAGCGGAACCGGGCTTCGCGCGCTGGTCGGCTGGGCCGCCTCGCGTCGGCCGTACTCGATTCTTATTGGTCGCTGTTTTTCGTCGATAACTCGTTAACGGTGCCTCGGAGAACATTTTTGTAAAGGAAGAAGTTGCTTCAAAAGATCCGAGGAACCCGCCGTTTCCGGATTGCGAGACATTTGTCGGACGCCCTGTGGACTGTTGTAAATCGATGCGAAGACAAAAGAAGTGTGAAACAATGCATACGAAGACGATTATTTGGTTCAAACGATGAGGGAGTGAGTTCTAGAGCAAGCCACTATAGCGGCGTGTCGTTCTGAAAGACGACATCCGCGAAAGCCACTATAGTAGTGGCGCGTCGTGCCTAAAAGGTTAAACGTAATAATTAAGCCACGGTGTAATCGAACGAGGCCGTTTGAAATGACAGCGTTGCACACGAATATATCCGGCCTGTCGGAGGATTACACCGGCAGCGGGAAGACGTCCGGCAGCGTAACCACTCATCAGACATTACCGGGATTCTCGCAACCGTTTTGCGTTCGACCCAGTCCCCGAGGGTACAGCCTTTACCAGACGCAGCAAAGCAACGGGAGCGCCGCGGCGGCGATGGACGCTTCCTCGACATGGAACTACCCTTCCGCGAACGACCCTCTGATGCCGCAGTACGCGACCTCCACCAGACAGCAGTCCGTCAATTCACCGACAACTCCGACCCAGCACCAGCTGACCGCTTCCGCGGGTCTCGGTACCAGTAAGTATCTTTCACGTATTTGCGACAATTACGACTCTTTCGATTCGACAGTTCTTTTCTTCGTTCATTGGTCAACGGTCGATCGGAGCAGTCCATGCCTTCGTGGCGTTGCGCGGTGTCCCCCGCACCCTCCTGTGTCTTCCCTCCTGCCTCGTATCGTCTCGTCTCGTCTCGTCTCGTCTCGTCTGGTCTCGTCTCGTCTCGTCTCTTTCGATCCGCTCGAAGCGAAGCGAAGCGAAGCTCCGTTCGCAGCGCCGCGCGCTTTTGCCTTGTTCGTCGTCCGCGCTCTGTTCGCGCGCTCGCGCTCGCACTCGGTGACGATTCGTCTCGCCTTACGCTTTACGGACGCGGACCCCTCGGTCCTTCGAAACGCGATAAATCGTAAACGATTCGAAGAAACGCGATCGCGAGCGAAGACGCGTACGCCGTATCGTGTTGCACGGATCGTAAATAACGAGAAAAGGATTCGATCGGTCTCCTCTTTCTGGCTACGGCCGCGACCACGTCGGGGGCCCACCGGAACCGCCCGAAACTCATCCCTCCGAGCCAGCCGAGAGAAGTGCCGCCTATGCCGATGATCCACGAAGCGAATCTCGTTCCACGAGCCCGGAGAAAAATCCTCGAGAACTATGCATCCTGGCGCGCACCGTTCGTTCGCCGTTTCCGCGGTGCCGTCGAACGCCAAGAGGCATCGATACCCGCAAACCCTGACCTAGCCAATGCACGTTTCTAATCTAGTTTTGTCTACGCGCGATATACGAGGAACGACGATAGGTCTATCTCCCCGTATCTAGCCGTTTCGGAGGCGCGAATTTCAGATAATTGTCGCCGCGTGTCTCGCCAATGAAATGGATAAATCGGCGTGCTTCCGATCGAAAGATGAGGACCGAACGCGAACGACGCGCGTTTCCCGTCACGCTGTCGTCGTCGAAACGACGGCGACGAGGAGAATCCAGGCTGTCTCGGAGAGGCCCGGACCCTCGATCCTCCGCAGAATCCTCCGTGGACGCGTTAGACCCATCGGAGCCCCAGGGTCGCGTGACTCGCCGAGCGACGCATCCATCGACGAGACGTTCCTGTCCGTCGGAAAACACGACGGCGGGCTATATAAACCTCTTGTGAACGCGTCGGGTATATCTGCGGTTTCCATACCGCACACGGGGCTTTCTTTGAGAGCCTCGGGCCGAGGGGGCAAGAGAGGGCACAGTCGTCTCTCCACTCTTGACGCATCGTCGTTAATCGTCGTTTCGAGTGGCTGTTGCGCGTGTCTCTGGTTTCGATGTCAAGTTCCGTCGCGCAGCGCCGCGCCGCGCCGCGCCACGCTGTTTTTCCATTTTATTCCTAGTTCAGGCCAAGTGTCTCTCCGCTGCGTCGCGTCCGCGCATTGTTTCTCTTCCAGATGGATCTCGTCCCATCGAACGCGCGTCTCTTCTCGACGTCGACGTTGTTCCTGTTTGCAGCGAACAGAGCAGATGTCCCTGTTTCCGTGCCCCCCCCCCCCGGATTAAAAACGTGTCGGAAAGGAAAGGTTTTATATTTGAATCGATATTATTATTTATTATTATTAATTATATATTATATTATAATAGAAATTATATATATATTATAATATATATAATACAATATATAATAAATAATAATAAATAATAATATCGGTTCAAATATAATCGGTTATAATAGAAATTATATATATATAATTTATATTATAATATAATATATAATTAATAATAATAAATAATTATATATAATATATTAATTTATATTATATTATATCGGGCGCACGAGAATTTGGAAAAGGCAAGGAAACTGGAAGACTCCACCCTTTTAGATATCGTTCCCCGGTGTCAGTCCTCGGTGTACGTTTTACCGTGTATCGTCGGCTCTCCCAGCCCCGTACCGTGACTGTTCTCATTGTAGGACCGAATCCTCCCTTATCTTCCGTCCTTCTCCCGCTCCCTTTACTCCGGCTCCGGCTCCGGCACCGGCTCCGACTCCGCTTCCCTGTGTCTGCCTGCGTGCCGACATTCCTCGTAACTCGGTCTCTCGTATACATTGCCTCCCTCCCCCCGCCGCCCTTACCGTCGCGACTCTCGTTCGACCCTTCGTCTTCGCGCGACTCTCCTCGTTCCTCTCGCCTCCGACGAGGTAATTCGACCCTCCTATTCTCATTCCTCGTTGCTTCGTCATATTCCTCGGAGGCCTCTCGGACGCCGCCGGTTGAATATACGGTTACGAAAGGATCCCCATCGTTTTCACCGATGCCGCTTACGGTGTTCGCGCGCAACGCGCGCCCGACAATGGTGTAACGGCAACGAGCGGGAGGGACGATCGACGTCTTTCTAGCCGTAGACGAACTTTCTCGTTCGTCCGGCGTTTGCCTCTTGAAACGATACTCGTTCCTTCGGTTTCGGATCCGTCGTCCAATGGACAACGTTCGCTAAACCGTGGCCGCCGTCAGCGACTCCGTTGCTTACTTATACGCGATATCCGATTGCCTCCCAGCCTTGTTTCTGCCGGATGCGCAACCGCCGTACGCCGACCTCTCCGTCTTTTCTTTCTTCTCCTCTTTCTTTTTTCTTTCTCTCTCTCTCTCTCTCTCTCTCTCGCTCTCTCACTCTCAATCGTTCTCTTCTTTTCTTTCGACTCGTGTCGTGTCTGCAACGAAGTAACGCGAGACGAAAGCACGCGTATTTCTCATCGGTGTCGATCCCGATCATCGAATCGGCGCGATGCGATTCATCCGTCGCTGTGGAAATCGTAGTTGGCTCGTGCGTCGCCGTGAAAGCGGCGAAACACAGTAGTGCTGGCTCCCCGGCGTTCCCGTTTACATTTCCGTTTACATTTTCGTTTACATTCCCGATTACGATTCTCGTTTACATTCCCGTTCACATTCCCATTCTCGCCTCGCTATTCCCATTCCCATTGGCTTTGCATACGCGAGGATCACGCGCCGGCTATTATTATCGTCGAACTCCGGAAACTCTGATAACGTCGTGTCCCTCTACATCCTCTGTCGCGTTCGCCGCGTTTCCTGCGTTTCCTGCGTCCTTCCTGTCCCGACTACGAACGTACCAGAGAGAAAGAGAGAGAGAGAGAGAGATAGAGAGAGAGAGAAAGAGAGAGCACGCCGCGTACATTGCGAGAAGAGCCTCGCGAGTACGCGCGAACTTCGCTTTCGAAAGCCGAGTCGCTGTCGCTTCGGGTAACACGAACGAGCGCGTCGGAAAACTACCGAAAACGGAGGCTATCCGACCGTCGTGTATTTTCCAGCTGCAACCTTCGTTCGTACCCCTGCGGCAAATACCTCGGCGACGCGATAACGGTTCGACGCCCGAGGCTCGACGACTTTCGCCTCGAAGCCCCCGATCGACGACGCTGCCCGATGGAAAATCGAACGAACCGAAGACAGTATTTTACCCAGCTGCCTCTCGCGTTGTCCACCTCCCCCTTCTCCAGCGCCGTCTCCGCCGCCGCCGCCGCCGCCGCCGCCTACTCCTCCGCGATCGTCGACACCCCCCTGCTCTCTGCCCTCTGCTCTTTGCCCTCTGAACCTCCCCTCTCCTCGTCCCGGCTCCGGTCACGGTCCCGCTCTCGCTCCGCCATCTCAGTGCCTCCGCCTGTCCTATTGTAATCGCGTTGAACTTGTCCCTGCCGAAATGACCGCAATGGCAGGCATGTTTGAAAGTATGCGAAACCGTGCAGTGCACAACATCGGGACGGAATACTTTACGGATGGCCGCGAGTGCGTGAATTGCGGCGCAGTTTCTACACCACTGTGGCGACGGGACGGTACCGGCCATTACCTCTGCAACGCATGCGGTCTCTACAACAAGATGAACGGCATGAATCGGCCCTTGGTCAAGCAGCCGCGTCGATCGGTAAGAAAGGAAGGAAGCGGAATGGTCGCGCGAGCGATCGACCGCGCGTCCTCCTCCGTTTTTGCGGCGAGTCTGTAACGCTGCTTTCCAGGTCCTTCTTTTCCTTCCTTGGAACGGCTTGTATTATAGGGTTTTGCGGGTTTATTTATTCTTTTATTTTTTCGGCTCTCCTCCAAGGAGCGTAACATCGAACCGAAGGACATTTCGGGAATCGCTACGCGGTACAGGAGCCTGTGTGGAAATTCGCCCATCGCCAATTCCTAGCCATTTTTATAGCCCGTTCAGCCATTTAACGACTTGGCCGATCTGCTCGCGAGTTCTCGCGTTACGTTCGATCGAGACGCGGACACCGATTTAACGCGCCGAGAACGCGCACGTACCACACGAGTGCACTCTCCCCCTAACGTTTGGCATCCTGTCTCTGTTTCAGTGGCGGACCAGGGCGATTTCTACAAAAGCTTCTGTGGGTATAGTGGCGCCTGTCGCGCCTACGAGGAGAAACCGAGCCGCCGTTCGGTAGGTGTTTCCCCCCAACTCTGCTCATTATCATTCTTTCTCTTTCTCTTTACTCTTTCTCTTTCTCGTCTTCTATTCTGTATCTCTCGCTTTTGGACACTATCTCTCTTTCTCCCTTTCACTTCCTCCTCTCTGTCTCCTTCTTTATTCCCCTTTGCATCATTTGTTACCTCTCTCTCTCTCCCGTTGTTTACGTTTTTTTTCTTATTAAACACTTTCGAAGCTGTCCCAGATCCCTGTCGACGCCCCAGCGTCGTTAGACGGAATGTTTTCTCGGTGCTTTTCGTGCTGTTGGGCGAGGGGAGGGGGGGGGGGATACCCAGGCGCTGCTAACCTCCCACGAAAAGCATCGAGAAAGCATTCTCGCCCGACAACGCTGGTGGTCACTGTCGATTGCTCGCCGATACCCGCGGCTCCTACTTTTATCCCTCTTTCGTCGTTCTCCACAACACATTTCCCAAAAACTCAGAGAAGACCAACGACGCGCGTTTCTCATCGTCGACTAGTTTGAGACGGCAACTTCTGCTAAGAACGTTCGTCGTAGCTCCAAGGTGCCACTATACCCATGGTACGATCAAGATTTCCTTTTCGAAATCATGCGTAGCCTAATTAGCGAATGTGATTTAGTAGAGTCGATCGTATTGCGATTCACCGACGAGAACAATGTGTTTACAGGCTGCGCCGTGATTTCGTGCAGAAATGTACTGCGTACACGTGATATTTCGTGCGACAAAATCTCTTCAAGTGTCGATCTTGGGTCAGCGAACAAGTTCTCTCATGCCCATTCTTTCGTTGTTCGATGTTCTTGTTTCTGAATTCTACCTTTCTCCTTGCATGCTCTTTCTTGTCTCCCTCTTTCTCTCTCTTTCTCTCTCTCTCTCTCTGTTTGTGCGAGTGTCTCTGTGCGCGAGTGTGTTTCTCTCTGTTTCTCTTCTGTGCCTATGTTTCTCTCTCTTTCTTTCTTTCTCTTTTCCTCTCTACGTCTTCTTTCTGCCTCCGTCTTTGTCTCAGCTTCTGTCACATTGCTCGCCTCAATGAAATGAAAGACGCACACGGCGGCTTGGTTAAAGAGAATTTCCCATTTTCACAGTCCGCGACGAGACGCGTCGGCACTTCCTGCAGCAACTGTAAAGCAACGAAGACCTCGCTGTGGCGACGCAACGCTCTCGGCGAGCCGGTCTGTAACGCTTGCGGGCTGTATTACAAATTGCACGGGATAAACAGGCCGCCCAACATGAAGAAGGATACGATTCAGACGCGGAAGCGAAAACCGAAGGGCGGCATGAAGTCTACGGACACGCCGCTCTCGGCCACCGACGCCCCCTGCACGAACATCAACAACAACAGTACAAATACAAACAACAACCACAACAACAACAACAACAACAACAACAACAGCTTAAAGAAAGAACCGAGTACGTATGTTGGTGTCGCGACGCGACGCTCTTTTGTGTTTTCGTAAGCGACGCGCGCGAGTTTCGTCTAGGTTAGGACGGCCGGTGTTAACGACGATCCTCGCTAACGACCGATTGGCTGTTCACAGATACGTACGACGACATGCGGATGAATCATCCGGAGGTTCGTCAAATTCCACTGAACGGGGCCGTTTACTACGACGTTTCAACCGGAGCGCATTACGGCGCGATCAATTTTCAGCGGGAGCTGTGGCTGAAACAGCACCACGGCAGCCAGCTGCAGCAACAACAGCAGCAACACCAGCAACACCATCAGCAGCTTCTCGAGACGCATTCTCCGAAAATCGAGTGCCCCTCGCCTTGCGCGAACCGATCGCCGGACCACCACCAGTTCGCTTCCCCGCATATCGTCACCCTTGAGAATTCGTCACCCACCGCAGCAACCGCAAAAATGATCATCGACAACGGCCACCTGGACAGGCCGACGGTGGTCTCTATGTCGTCGTAAGGAGACGCCTTTTCGCGGAGACCGTTGTTGAACCGCGTTCTATTCGATCTCGATTTCGTTCTCGGCACATTTTGGCACGCCGATTCGCGACGAAACCGGGAACGAACGAAACACCTTCGCCGGGCCGTCACGCCTACCGTTGCTTCGCGTCTGCTACGCGCGTCGATGGAATCGCACACGACCGGACAGATTTTAGCGCGCGATAGATTTGGCTAGAGTTCGCGTTCCTGCGATCGATTCTGCGACGAACCTCTTCTGCGACACCCGGGAAATCCTGGATATCCACGATATCCTGTAACCAAAGAAACGCTCTACGAAGGACGGTTCGCGGCACCGCCTCGCGAGAATACAACGAGAAGGGAGCCGGACAGAACTGGCGGGGAGGAAACGCGGCAGAACACTCGCAGAGTTTCAACGTACGCGGCCAATTCGCTCCTCGATGTAGACCGTGTTCGGTCGATTTTGTAAATAGCATTATCGTTTGCGCTTATTCCCCTCTTTTATCCGCGTTCGGACGAGTTTCTTTTTATTTCATACGGACTTTGCTCGATCGACTTTTACGCCGCGGCCGCTCGGGCAGCGAGATTCGAACAACGATCTCGATTAGAAATTGTTTTTAACGTGCTGTTGTGTAGCGAGAGGAAGCGAACCACGCGGTACGCGAACGATTAGTTTCGTCGTCGAAACGACCTCGAAGAATAGCGTCGCGCTGTCCTCTTCGATGCGAAATGTTCGCGGATCGTATCGTGGTTCGAACGGACGCAAGGAAACCGAGAAGAAGGTGCGACGGAACAAATCGGAACAAATCGGAGCAAATCGGAACAAATCGAAGATTCGTGTTTGCGAGACAAGCTAGTCGTAGATTGACAACGAGCCAGCGTATCTTGAAAAATCCGCGCTTCTTAGATACCCGTAGGAAATTCGGTTCGCGCGGCGACGGTCGCGTACGCGCGTGTTTACGTTCGCGCAGAGCCTGGAACAATTTCGACTGCGTGCTCGACGAGCTTGTTAGTTAGGTAGAGAACTTGTTGTATTTAGAAACGTACGAATATGTTGCCGCGTGTAATACGCCAGGCGTAACCGTGAATCGACGATTCGTCGAGTCGGCTCCGGAACGCGGTCACCGACGATCAGCTAACAAGATGGAACCAGTACACGCGCTCCTTGTCCTTTGTAAATATACGATAACAAAACTTTATGCGTAATTAGTTCGGTAAGTCGGTATACTTGAAAAATACATACATTTACTTGTACTTTGTGAAAGCATGCGGTGCGTCGATAATCGCGAATCGACGGATGTAACGAGTGGTAAACTCGTAGGGCGTTCACGTTTCGAACTAAGATCGACGGTAAGAAGAATAATGTTCTCGATGCGAAGGCGTTCCGTGTGACGAACGCCGCGGATTGTTCGAGTTTGTTGTATCGTCGAATCGGTTATTTTTGAATAAAAAGGGATATTTAAGTGAACGATGCGGAATTAGTGATGCGTTCGTAAAGAGGCCAGAGTTACGGGCCGAGGTACGCGGGCCAAGAGCATTCTGGGATTCTGGGAATCTGGGAATCTGGGAATCTGGAATTTTAGGAATCTAGGGGATTCTAGGATTCTGGGGATCCGGTAATTTGGGATTCTGAGAATTTGGGAATCTGAGATTCTAGGAATCTGGGAATCTGGGAATCTGAGATTCTAGGAATCTGGGAATCTGGAATTCTAGGAATCTGGGAATCTGGAATTCTAGGAATCTGGGAATCTGAGAATCTGGAATTTTAGAAATCTGGGAATCTGAGAATCTGGAAATTTAGGGGAATCTAGGATTCTGGGAATCCGGTAATTTGGGATTCTGAGAATTTGGGAATCTGAGAATTTGGGAATCTGAGATTCTAGGAATCTGGGAATACAGGATTTTGGTAATCTGGGATTTTGGAAATTTTGGATTCTGAGAATCGGGGATTTTGGGTATTTGGGAGTCTAGGGAATCTGGGATTTTGGGATTTTGAGAATTTGGCATTCTGGGAATCTGAGATTTTGGAAATCTGCGATTCTGGGAATCTGGGATTTTGGAAATCCGAGATTCTAGGAATCTGGCATTCTGGAAATCCGAGGTTCTGGGACCGCGCGAGATCCCGGGGCAGTCGCGGGAACGCAAACGGTCGCAACGAAACCGACCAGCTGGCGAGGAGTCGGTGTACGCGCAGGAAAACTTCATCCCTGTGTATATTCGGCGATAACGCGTAATCTCGGTTAATCTCGGTTAAAGGTTGGGACTGGCGAGAAACGCTGGCATTGGCGTAGTCGGTTAGGGTGCCGAGCTCGCTCTCGTCCCCTTCGACGCCGTACCTTTCGAGGGACACGAGTGTCCGCTGTCTCGCAGATTCCACAGAAACCGGTGGAAAGACGATAAATTCGAAGAGCAGGAGAGGACGAAACTGCCATAAATGGGGGAAGGGGAAGGAAATGGGGAAGGATGGGAAAACTGGGAAATGGAACAGAAAGCAGAGAGAGAGAGAGAGAGAGAGAGAGAGGGAGAGAGAGAGAGAGGTTCTCGTACAGTCTGCTACAGCCGCGTACAGTCTCGCACAGTCGTTGTTACGATTGTTACCGTTGTTACCGATGTTACGACCGTGTCTCACCTGACCGCGTTATCGGTGGAATCCCGTGTGTGCTCTGTAAGTATGACGACACCCTGCGCTCTCGAACCGCGTTGCCTCTTCTCCCGCTGTTTTCAACGATAACGCGATGCGCGCGTTCCGTATACACCTACTTACGATGGATATCTCGTTCGCCACGGTAAAAAGTAAACCGATGCCGAGTCGGTGACGGTGCCCCGCTCTCGGGGAAAATACGTTCACGAGACCGAGCAATAAATCCCGGGTCTCTCTGCTCCGTTTCGGCGGAAAGGTAAATGCAAGCGAGAAGAGAGATAACGAAAAGGAAGCGAAGAGAAGCGATAGGTGGGAGAGAGGCGAAAGGACGAGGATTGGCCGAAAGCGTGGAAGCGACCGTCGACCGGGAGGCGAAGGAGTAGGAGGGTAGCTACCCCAATCGGGGTGGGTGGGGGGTCGTCCGCGGCGCGTCCGGTACCAAGATGGCGACCGGCGAACAGAGAAACGAACGCGATCGACGAATCGGCGTATCGACGCGCGCGATGCAACCGTGCTCTCTCGTCTTTCGCCTAATCGTGGTCTGTCAATATTTGACGGGGTCTCTCTCTCTCTCTCTCTCTCTCTCTCTCTCTCTCTCTCTCTCTCGACTCTGCCGCCGCGGCAGCCGCTGCGGCCGTGTGTTGCGGCCGTGGCGGAATCGAAGCTTCGGTGCGACGCTACCAGGCGGCAGGCAGCAGGCATCGGACGTTGAGCGGCGGACAGCAGCCAACAGCCAACAGCCAGCAGCCAGCAGCCAGCAAACCGTACCGAATCGTCGACGCACCTTGGTTAGCGCACCTGTGTCAAGCATTACCAGCGCATCGCGCCTCGCCGTCTTCGCTCTCGAATCGTAACGTAACTCGCGGCCGTCTCGCGCGAGCCGACCGCCGACCCGTCGATCCTCGACGCGATACGGAATCACGCTCTCGCCGTCAGATTTCCACGGGGTAGCCCGCTACCGCCGAAGAGCCGTGTCCTCTCTTCGGTCACCAGTTGCGGTAAGTCTCGATTTTTCGTTATTCCCGGCAATTTCTTCTCGCCCGTCGCTCGGGAACAGAGGAATATCTCCTTCGTTCCCCGTTCCCATCGCGGTTCCCGTCACGCACGTTCCTCCGCACGACCGATCTCGGCCGGATCACGGACCCGCGAAACGCTATCGGCGTAGTTGTTCGATCTAGAAAAATTTCATCGCGCGAGGGTAGAGCACACAACGGGAGAGAGAGAGAGAAGAAGATAACGACGGAGATAGAGACAGAGATAGCGATTTAGATGCGAATAGAGATACAGCGAGGGAGCGTATACGTGTGTGTGTGTGTGTGAACGAGAAAGCAAAAGAGAGAGAGAGAGAGAGAGAGAGAGAGAGAGAGAGAGAGAGAGAGATGGAGAAAGAAAGTAAAAAAGCTGATAACGATCAAGATGAAATTGCGGGCATTCGACGAACGTTTTCCACGACTTTTATCGTGCGGCGATCGCGAATACGGAGTCGTTCTCCCGGATTATCGGCGAATCATGGAACGCGGGCGAGCTCGAACGAGCGGTTCGAGCTCGGAGCAGAAGAACGCAAGGTCCGTTTGGTAAAAATCGTAATATCGAGGCGACGAAACGATGCGTGGCGCGGCGAGGCGCGGCGAGACGAGACGAGGCGCGACGAAGCACGGTAACGGATATAGCGCAGTATTTGGAAAGACGCAACCCGTGTCCGCGCGCCCGGTAGCACGCGTACCGTTCGAAACGAAAAACACTTGTGTTTTAAGTTCGATTCGATCGGCAACACTTGCGGCGTCCCGGTCCCGCCGCGGCTCGAACCGCGAGCCACCGTCTTTCGTTCGCCCGTTTCCCACGTACTACGCGTTCCCTCCGATTTTCTCGATTTACGCACGTTCACTTCGACGCTGGCCACGCACGGCCCGTTGTCCCGACGATCCGTCCCGCTGGTTCTCCTCGGTACGTCGGGCGCACCCTCGATCTCGCGTACGATCCTCGCTAATTGTTCTTTACGCGTACGCGGCACCCAGTCGTCGAAGCTTCGGTCCTCTTCTTCGTTGCAACAACCGGAATTGTCTCGGTGGCAACACTCCAGTTTCGTCGGTCCCGCTCGCATTTCCGTTCGCGTTTCCGTTTTCTGGTTTTACCCGGGTGGATGTAGATCGATGATCTCGAACGGTGTCTGGCACGAAACTATTCGATATCGTGGCGAGATACTCCGGCAGCGCAGATATTTTATTAATCGTTAAGCACATAGTCGCCGTAAGATAATGGAATAATATCGGGTACCAACGATAATACTGTTTGTCGCCGCGCGGGCTAATTATTCGGGTCCCGCGCGGTTCGTCCAATCGCCTTTTTTCCTCCCCCGTGAGACGCTCGGCCGAAGCCGAGAATCGCGATGGTCGCGTCGTCCCGTCCTAACCGGGACGCGTGGTTCTAATTTCGTTCGATTTTCCCGAGATTCCGGCACGTTGAAACGTGGAATCGTGTCGCGAACGAGTACCGTAATAATCCGTATCGTTCGTCGGCCGTCGTGGCGCGCCATTTTTATTGGTCGCGTCGCGTCGCGTCGACTTGTTTGCGCGAAATCATCGTCGGCGGATCGTTTGTTTGTTCTCGCGATGCCTCGTCGACGAGGATTTCGCGGTGGGTACAATTTAGGTAACCGGCTGGCGAGATCGCCGCGAAACTATCTCCGACGGATCGCGCGATCATCCGGCGCCGCGGTAAATAGCGAAAATGGTGCTAAAACGTTGCTCGGCGCGAAACAATCTCTAACGAATCGCGCGATGATTCGGCGGCGCGGCGCCGCGGTGAATAGCGAAAATGGCGCTGAAACGTTGCTCGGCGCATCGACGAACGAACGGTGTTCCGCGAATCACCACGTTGGACATTTCGAAACGCGGAAGAATCGCCGCGGCGATTTTTTTCTCTCGCGCGGCGGAAAATTACCGCCGCGCGGCGAGAAAACTCGGTCGCCGCGGAACCGATTTCGGGGAATCGTCGGATTGCGTAACGCGGCCGTGCACGCGCCGTCGTCATCCCTTCGACTCGCGGTTGGTTGCTCGCGGACGCTCGACAAAACTCGCGACGATATTGTTAGATACGAAGCGCGGCGTTCGACGGGCGGCCGTGATCCCTCGCACGCGTACCTGTCGCCGAGCCGAAAAAAATATTTCGTTTTCTCCGCGATGGCCGACGACGACGATGGGACAACGATAGCGCTCGAAGGCCTACGAACGCGATCACGTACTACACTCTCTCGCTCGCACTCGCGCGTACACTCGTGCGTGCACGCGCGCACACAGTCGCGCCCCGATCGTCGGGGATTTTCACTGTCGCCGATAAGGATTTCCTACTCCACTGATAAAGAAAATGACCTCGTCGCGTTCGCGATTCCATTTAGCCGTGACGCAACCCTTTTGCGCCACACGAATCGAGGCGGTTCCTCTTCAAAATTGTCGGGCTCCTCGTTCCGTCGAGCCGGCGAGAATTCGCGAAAATCGACGAAACGCGACGGTCGACCGCCTGGTGACGCGCGACGATCGACGGAGCTGTCGTCGTCGTCGTCGTCGTCGTCGTCCTCTTGTCGCCGTTGTTACCTTATTTCCGTGGATTCCAGTGTCTCGTTTAGCTCGCCGGGTCGTCTCGGTCGATGAAACACCGTCGAACAAACGGGACCGCGAGTGCGACCACGCGGTACACGCGACGCGACGAAACGACCCCAAAGAGAGAGAGAGAGAAAGAGGGCGAAGAGAGAATCACAGGAGCTGAAGAGGTCCGCGACGGAACGTTCCGCGGAAATTCCGTGGTTTCGCGGCGCGGTCACCGGTGCTACCGATAAACGGCGAATCGCTTTCGACTCGACCCCGACGACGACCGAGGTTCCTTCGACGGCGGAACTCGACCGCGAAAAGCAGAGAAACGGCCCTACGCGTTCCTGGCGGACCCGACGACTGAAATTATCATTTTAGCTGATATACTAGCTAATGTAAGGATGCAGTTTTATCTCTTATTATCATGGGAAACGAGATAAATCGCGATAGTGCCGTTTATTTTGACAACGGTATGCCTCTCACAGCCAACACGGCCGACCTCCTAACCGGTGTGCGATGGTCGCGCGCGGACGCGACGCTCACCGATTAAAACCGTGGCGATATTCACCCGAAACGGACGACCTTTCCGTCTTATCGCCAACTAACCCGTCGCACGCTCCGTTCCCACCTTGAACGGCGCATCTCGCTTCGGATCTCGAACGATCGCGAATCTTCTCGGCTGCGCCGAAACGATCGATCGATCCTTTGGGCGATCGCGTTCAGGCCTGGACCGACGACCTTGCCTTCTAGGCGCAACGGATTCCGTTCGACGCGGAGCCACGTGCCCGTCGCCGATGGCCGATATTTTCGAGCCGCGACGTTTTCGTAAGAACCGATGCCCGATCCCGTGTTTCGTTGACCCGATCGCGCTCGGCGGTCGAAACGTCGTCCATCTCGGCTCGTCCGTGTATCGTCCGAACGGCTACGAGTGGCTGTCGTGTCTCTATCGAAGCCTTATCGCCCGTTATCGACGACGCAACGCAAAGCAATCTGTATTTCCTTGGTTCTTCGATAAACAATTAATTTTTCGATTTCATCCTAGATAACCGTATCGACGCGGCTCCGAATCGGCTCGAGAGAACGGTCTCGCGTCGTTCGTCAACTTTCTTGCGGCTCCGTTCGTTTCGTTCGGTCGTCGTTGAACGGGAATCACCGCCGGCGGATCTCTGCGAAAACAGGCAAACGATTCTCGTTTTTATCTCGAATCGGCCATCGGGAATATTCGTGCCATCTATAATAAATAGTATGAAAAGAATAGTAAATAAAATAAATAATAGAAATAAAATATAATAAATAATAATATATATATTATTATTATTATATACATATATAAGAATAAACAATAATATATATATATATATATATATATATAAGAAGCCCGTGTCCCGAACTTCTTCGGCGTCGCGACGAGGACGCCTGCAACGGAACGATCCGTTTTCCCAAGCTTCGTCGAGGTCCGTCCGATGGCCATCGTAAACTTTTCGCAGTCTTCGTTCGACGCGGGAAACGGAAATTTATTGCGTTAATTGCCGGCCTGGTTCGAACTAAAACTTTGACCCCGGAGCTGGCGGATTCCCGGAGCGAGCGGTGAAAACGCGTCCGGTCGCCGTTTAGCCCTCGACGATGCTTCGTTTGCGAAGATGAATCAGAGCAAGCCCCGGTGACGTAAGGGACACGGCCGTTACCTGGGAACAAGGAATCCGCGAACCACGAAAAAGAAGGCGAAGGAAACGTGCGTCGATCGCGTACATCGAAGCGGGGAAGACGCGCGCGCGGACCGAGTCGGCTGGGATTCGACGGCGGTCCCGGTCGATAGGGGTCGGCGAAACGTTTGGTTGGACGCGCGGGGTACGTGGACGGGGTTTCCGGATCCACCCCTTCGGGCGTCCCGTGACGCTTCGACGCCTCGGCGCGGGGCGATCTCTCTCGGTTCTCTCGAAGGGTGGAGGCTCGAGGGCCGAGGGGCCCTAGGATCGACGTAATTTTTCGACGGAGCGATAAGCGTCGCGCGCATGAATCACCGCGGCAGCACCCTAATAACGTCGGTGCGCGGCGCTACTCGCAAAATGGCGTTGACAACGATGGCTAACGTGCTCCGCGACGACGACGACGACGGCGGCGGTGGCGACGATGACGGGGGAAACGTTGTAAAGGGGCGAACGGGGGAAGGGCGAAGAGAACATGGACACACTTCTGTCGCCTCCCCTCGCGCACCTCACGAGCTCCACGCGCGACCTTATCTCGCTCGCTAGCTGCGAGCGGCCGTCCGTTATCGACGAACAAACAAACGGACCCCTCCGTGTCGACTCTTTTTCACTCGATCGCCAGGGATTCTCGACTCGTCTTGCTCCTCTGTTTTGCCAGTTTTCCGCCGCTGGAAGGGAAAAGAGGAGACGCGGCTACGAGGAGCACCGTGTGTCGGTGTAGTCGGCCGTTCGTGCGAGCGAGCGAGCGTCGCGAAAACGTTAACAGTCGGGTGTAAAGAGCATTCGCGAGTGTCGCGTGATCGGTGCCCGAATCGGAGCGGTTTCACATCGGTCAGCCGCATAAGGTACATAAGAGAGAGAGAGAATCCCCATCGCCGAGATCCCGAGCTCTCGTCGCTCTCCGCGCCGATTCGTTCGCAATTTTCGCGTGCAACGTCGACCGAGAAACGCCGTCGCGTTCAGGTTCGGTCGATCTTCCGTTACCATTTATCGTTGGAACCCCCGCGACTCGTCGCGCCCCCGATGCACGGTTATGGGAAAATGGTTCGCGAGACGCGCTGGCAAGGGGAAAAGCGTCGATCGCGGTCGGACGTTCGCGCCGCGACTGTCGTGCCGCGGCCGCCGCGTGCTCGGCCCGGAAGTCGGCATTGACTCGACGTCGTCGATGGGAAGTGTGACGCGAGTCCGAGCAAACATTCTTTCGTTCTTTTTCTTCCGAGACGGACGAGGTGCGCCGCCGCTCCGCTCCTCTCCGCTCCGCCTCTCCGCGGCTTGCCCCTACCCTCCGGCCCTCCGCTGTTTCCCTTGCCAGGGATGATTTTCTTTCCGTGTTTCTGGCCGCGCGCGCTCTCCTTCGTTCCGCTCGCCCGTCGTGTCACCCGTTCCGTCCGAAGCCGTTCGGTCGGTCGGTCTCCGGCACCGCCGAGTTCCCGCTCTCGAGACGGATCGGTCGCGTGCCACGTCTCATCCTAGTCCGAACTTCCAAACGGTACGGTCGTCGGCCGTGGATCGTCGAACGATCGCTTCGGCGCGGTTCGGTGCGGTGCGGTGCTTCGCGGTGCTTTCCGTTGCGGTGCGGTAAGCAACGATTCGCAGAACGAACTTGTTTCAGGCATCGAGGCGAGATGAAGGAGAGCTTGATAAAGCGGGAGATCGAACACGAGTGGGAGGAGAGCCGCGTCGACGAGGGTTCGTCTCGGATGACCGGAAGCGGCAACGTGACCGCGGCCTCGATCGAAGAGCAGCGACAAGCGATGGAGAGCCCGCGGACGGTGATCACGGCCAGACGACACGTGCGCACGATCACGACGGCGGGCCACATCACCGAGAACGTGCCGGAACCGGAGCCGGAGCCGGGACCCGATTCTCCGGACGCGGCCGCGATGTCCGGCAGCCTTCAGCACCAGGCGCACCATCGCCACCACCAGCTCCAACAACAGTCGCTCGAACAACAACATCGACAGTCGCGCAGCTATCGGGACGGGGACCAACAGGATCCAGGAAACCAGCAACACTTCGCGCAAATCGTGCGATCGGAGGCGGACGTTCAACAACAGCAACAGCAACACCAACATCATCGCGCCGGCGAGCAACGCGTGGTTTATCTGACCAGCAACGGGCAGGAACTGAAAGTCGAGGTGCCGGATACGTTGGAGCATGCCGCGTTGTCCGTCAAGGAATCGGCGAGGTAAGTCGGTTCAACGGGCTTCGTGGTGTGAACAAGATCCTTAACCTTTTTGGCACGACGCGCCACTATAGTGACTTTCGCGGATGTCATCTTTCAGAACGACACGCCGCTATAGCGGCTTTCGCGGATGTCGTCTCTCTGGACGACGCGCCACTATAGCGGCTTGCTCTAGTAGCTCGCTCGCTCATCGTTCGAACCAAATAATCGTCTTCGTATGCATCGTTTCACACTTCTTTCGTCTTCGCATCGATTTACAACAGTCCACAGGGTGTCCGAAAAATGTCTCGCAATCCGGAAACGGCGGGTTCCTCGGATCGTTGGAAGCAACTTCTTCCTTTCCAAAAATGTTCTCCGAGGCACCGTTAACGAGTTATCGACGAAAAACAGTGACCAATAAGAATCGAGTACGGCCGACGCGAGGCGGCCCAGCCGACCAGCGCGCGAAGCCCGGTTCCGCTCGTTGGCTCGATCGCCTCGCGCCAGCCGAGCTCGCCTCTCATTGGTCACCGTTTTTCGTTGATAACTCGTTAACGATGCCTCGAAGAAAATTTTTGTAAAGGAAAAAGTTGCTTCGAATGACTCGAGGAACCCGCCACTTTCGGATTGCATTTTCGCTAAGGAAGAAGTTACTTGGAATGACCTCAAGATCCCACCATTTCCGGAATGCGAGACATTTTTGGGACATCCTGTAGTCTCTAGAGATTTATCGCGTGGATTTGAAGAACCGCGAACGAATTTTTCGAAGGTACGAGACCGCCGACGGATCGGATCGAAACGAGATGGAGAGCATGTACGTGTACGCGACGGACGGGCAACAGTTGCGAAGGGAGAGCCACAGCATCGCGATCCAGATGCAAGACAGACGCGGCCACGCGGCCGCGAGCCAGCAGAGGTACAGTCCGCGCGAGACCGGTCAATTGGGCGGAGGAAACGGATCGACGACCGGTAGCGGGTGCGGCGGCAACGGCGGCGGTAGCAACGCCGGTAGCGGCAGCGTCGCCAGGACTTATCACCACGGGTCACCGGTGCTGGTCGGGAACACCGACGAGTACGAAGGCCGAGCCTCGATGGGGTCCCAATCGGACGCGACGACCGCGTCGGTGTCGGCCCCGGGAACCGGGACCAGCACGGACACCGTCGCCGGAACACCGACCGTGTCCGGGTCCGGGTCCGGTTCCGGGTCCGCGACCCCGACCGTTCAGATGGGTTCGCCCGTCGCTCCTGCGTATTCCCCGCCGATCGTCGGCGACGGTATCCACGGGTCGGCGTCCGCGGGATCGCAGCAGGCGGCGCAGCAACATCATCAGCATCCGCATCACCATATCGTGACGGGGTACACGGACGCTGTCGTCGACAGGTTCACCGTCTCCGTCGCGAACGAGAAACAGGTGTCCAGCACTTACACCACCCTGGAGACGGTCGCGATACCACCGCCGCAGGCCGTACAGTATGCCCCGCAATACATATCGAGCAGCGAAGCGTTCCAGCAGGCTTCTGCCTACGCCTACAGCAAAACCGGGGAACAGCTGATATTGACGTATCCATCGGCCGGTCAACTGGGTCCGCGCGTCGGTGGGGTAAGTATTCTGCAGAATTATTTCAAATCCCGTGAGGAATTATTTCGGGTTGCGTAGTTACGAGTCCGTTCGCGTTTTTTTTTGTGAGGAGATATAGTACCGCGCAGTCGTCGACGCGAACGGACTTATTGCGCGATTTCGATCGCAATCTACCCGGTCTTAAAGTAGACACTTTTAGCTTTCGTTTAAGTCAAATTGCATGGAAATAGCTCCATGGGAACGTATCTTAAAATCCATTCGAATTCTTCCTTTTAGATCTTGCGAATCTCGTGATGTCAGTAGTCGATTCTTTTTAATTTTTCAAAATGATCTCGTCGTTCGCTCGCAATTTAATTTACTTAGACTTAAAGTAGACACTATCAGCTTTCATTTGAGCCAAGTTGCATAGAAATAGCTCTACGAGAACGTATCTCAAAATCCATTCGAACTTTTCCTTTTAGATCTTATAAAATCTATGATGTCAGTAGTCGTTTCTTTCTAATTTTTCAAAATGATCTCGTCGTTCGATCGCAATCCAATTTACCCAGTCTTAAAGTAGATACTTTCAGCTTTCATTTGAGCCAAGTTGCATAGAAATTGCTCTACGGGAACGTATCTCAAAATCCATTCGAATTTTTCCTTTTAGATCTTGTAAACCTCGTGATGTCAGTAGTCGATTCTTCCTAATTTTTCAAAATGATCTCGTCGTTCGATCGCAATCTAATTTACCCGGTCTTGAAATAGACACTTTCAGCTCTCATTTGAGCCAAGTTACATAGAAATAGCTCCACGGGCACACATCTTAAAATCCATCCGAATTTTTCCTTCTAGAGCTTATAAACCCTATGATGTCAGTAGTTGATTCTTTCTAATTTTTCAAAATGATCTCGTCGTCCGATCGCAATCTAATTTACCCGGTCTTAAAGTACAAACTTCCAGCTTTCGTTTAAGCTGCATTGCATAGAAATAGCTCCGCGAGAACATGTCTGAACATTTATTCGAACTATCGCTCACGAATTCGCGCAATTCTCCCCGTCTCCTAGGTGTCGCTCCTGGGCGTCGAAGGTACGCGAACGGACCTGTTACATAACCTAGTTGAATTGGCAGAGAAGAGAATCACCGGATCGTTCGGTTCGCAGGTGGAGTCGCCCGGCAGCAGTTACATGAAAGGCGACCCGACACTGGCGTCCTCGGTGGCAGCGTCCCGCGGCGTGCCGCATCACTACGAGCAGCCGACGTCACCGAGCACCCAGATGACGTTGTACGGCGGCGGCAGCGGCGCGTACCCCTACGGAAAATCGACAGCCGCGACGGAGTATTGGAACGCGACGGGAACACCGTCGCCGCCCACGTTCGACGGCAGCCAGGGTGGTTATCAGACAGGCGTGTCGGCGATCGCCATCGGCGACGGGGCCAACATGCATTTGTACTCCGGCGGTGCGTACAGCGTGTCGCCGGGCACCGCGGGAGCACCCTCCCCCTGGCCCGGCCTGCCGATGTCCGGCACGGAGGAGAGCTTCGACGGGGCAATGATCATCGCCGAACAAAAAGAATGCCCCAGTTGCGCGGGTCTGCCGAACGTTTGGAGGAGAGACGAGACCGGCCACTATTACTGCTCGAACTGCCTCTGCAAGCCGAACGGCGTCAACAGAGCGGCCATGAGATGCGGCAAGCCCAAGCAAACGGTAGCTCCGGTAACTCGATCGTCTTTTCATCTTTCTATTATAAGAGTATTCGTAAGAACCACACAGGGGAGAATGCGTCGTCGTCGACGTCGGTCGAACGGGATAAGCATAATTGGTTAACCCTTTCGGTACCAGCGCCGGATATATCCGGCATCCATCCGACGACCAATATAGTGCCGAATACATCTGGCATCCGTGTACGCCATATTTTAATTTTATAAAATATTAATAATATTACGATCAAATTTTATTATAAAATATAAAATTAAATCTCTGACATATTAGAAGCTATTCCAATAACCGTTCGAGTCCCAAGCAGCGTGTTTTCCGAATAATCCGCGGGACTCGAACGGATAAAGTCTCTTCTTACAAGGATTCCGAAAAAAAACAGCTACAGGTATAATTGGTATAATTCAGGTACAGGTATAATTAATTACAGGTATAATATATATATATATATAATTACAGGTTATGTCAATACAATTTCAGGTTACATTTTCCTTCGAAACTTCTTCATAGATTTTAACCCCTTAACGCGTACGCTCGAGTTAATTCGAGCGCGCTAAACAGGCCAAACTGTGCGCACTCGGGATAATTCGAGCGGCGTTGTATTTTATGCTGTTACAATTTTCCACGCTCGAATGTATGATCGAGAATTGAAAATAACAATGTGAAAGCAAAGACATAAGATCGTTTTATTGATATTTATCATTTACACGAGAGATTGTAAGCTACAACAAAAATTGATCTCTTTTGGCCGGTTTTTTTTTTCAAAAAAACTGTGCGTTAAGGGGTTAACATATTCTAGGCCCTTTACAGAATGTTCACAGGAAACGAAAGATTTAGAAACGGATTAAAGTCGTTACTTCGCGCTTAAGAAAATCATCGTACGAAAGTGGACCGACCCTGCGTTGTGCGCGCATTTTCGGCGCGGCACCCCGTACAGCGGGAGTGCCGCGGCGGACAACGCGCTCGTACCGAAAGGGTTGAAGCAGTCGCCCGGCGAGCGAAAGGATCCGGGTTCGAAAAGTGCCCAAGTCCCGATCTCGTCCGTCTCGGTCGACTCGTTCTTCTCTCTCGTAACACCGTGTCCCTTCGGCGTCCATGCGGCGCACGTCGACGACGCGAAAAGCCTCGCTCGGAATCCTTGGAACGACCCGTCCGTTGGTCGCGCGCGCGGAAATTGGAACGACGGCCAACGTTATCTACGGCGCCGAGCAAACGAACGGCGCGAGGATCGCCCCGATTGTTTGCCCGTTGGCTGTTTGCTCCCGACAGATCCATTTTCGCGACTCGCGCGGTAGAATCTCTCTCGAGAAGCCTCGAGTCGAACGGGACGGATCCGACGTTTCCGAGGTCCAGTCGTGGAACGCGGACCCTAACCGAGACCACTGAACGATCGGAGATCGTTTGCTTTCTTTCCAGACGAACGTGCGAAAAACGGGAATGCAATGCGCGAACTGCAGGACCTGCAACACGACCCTCTGGCGGCGAAACAACAACGGCGAGCCGGTGTGCAACGCGTGCGGGCTCTATTACAAGCTGCACAATGTGAGTATTTCATGGATTCCGTTCGGTCGGACAAGAAGAGAAAAAAGAAGGGCGACGCGCGCGCGCGCGCGACGGTCGAAGCTCTGTCTTACACACAGTTACTAGGTGTTACATCGTAAATTCCAAGAACGCGTTCGGTCGGACGCGTTGCCCCGCGGTACTCTTTACTTCCGTCCGTTTTCCTTCCCGTTGTCGGCTCGAATCGTTCGACGCGCACGCGTTCCTTTCGTTTCGTCTCGTTTCCCCTCGCCCCGCCGCGGCACGGCTCGGCACGGCTCGCCGGAAAACGTTGTCCCTCTCCGGGCAGAGAGGCGAGGCGAACAAACAACGAATTTCCGGTATTTGTGCCGCTCGTAACCGGGATCGGAGCTCGCGCACGCGACGCGTCTTGCCGCTTATTGTTAGCGGCGCGCGGTTCGACGAGAATTTTCGACGTCCCGTCGCGTTCGCTCACGGGAACAACGCGCTCGGGCGTCGAGCGCGCCGCGGCAAGTCGACAGCGCCAGGGACGACGATCGTTTTTCGACGTAACCTTTAACTCTTTCGGTTCGAGCGCCGAATACATCTGGCATCCATGTAAGCCATATTTCAGAATGGCCATTTACAGAATGTTTACAGGGAACATTTGAAGAAAGATTTGGAAACGGATTAAGCACAGTCGTTACTTAACGCTTAACCTTTTAGGTTACGGCTGAATTCTGCGCGAGACTGTTTCTCTGGACGGCAGAGTCCGATGTGTACTGTACAGAGTCTGATACTGTATATTCTGTCTGTATATACAGGCTGTCCCAAAAATGTCTCGCAATCCGAAAGTGGCGGGTTCCTCGGGCCGTTCGAAGCAACTTTTTCCTTTACAAAAATGTTCTCCGAGGCGCCGTTAACGAGTTATCGACGAAAAACAGTGACCAATGAGAGGCGAGCTCGGCTGGCGCGAGGCGACCGAGCCAACGAGCGGAACCGGGCTTCGCGCGCTGGTCGGCTGGGCCGCCTCGCGTCGGCCGTACTCGATTCTTATTGGTCACTGTTTTTCGTCGATAACTCGTTAACGGTGCCTCGGAGAACATTTTTGTAAAGGAAGAAGTTGCTTCGAACGATCCGAGG